TTTAATAAACATTCTTTTTTCCCCCCTGTAATTTAGTTTTTAATTGAATTGTACATATAAGTCACATTGAAGCTGGAAAAACTGAAATTATGTATCTTGGTCTGAATTTTTTACATCTTATAAACCTGGCATTTTTAGAGAGGTGTTTCAACTTTTTGTATCCATTGTAATGTCAAAGGGACAGTTATGGCTGCCCTTGCATGAAAATGTGAGTCCTGCCCCCAAATAAGACAATGGGGGCAATTTATCAAAACTAGAGCAGTCAAAATCTGGAGTAGTTGCCGATAGTAACCAATCGGCTTCTCTCTTCAGTCTGCTCAGTTAAGATTTGAAAATGAAAGAGAGATGATTTGGTTGCCATGCACAACTGCTCCAATTTTGATAAATTCCCCTTAATAACTATTGTCTTAAAACATGCAAAGTATAAGTAAAAAAAATACTTCACTTCAGACCCTGGTTTCTTGCTGCTTCCTGACGATATAGTCATTGTCTCATTGCTGCCTTCTAGAAAATCCAAGCACTTAAAATATTCAGCACTTTTCAGGAGCACATTCTCCTGGGATTTGGAGACGTTTCAGTGACATCGCTTATGAAATGCATTGTGCTTGTCATTTCTTGCAAGCTTGGATAATGAGGTGAGGAGTTCTAGTGGATTGTAGCAAATTCTTTGTGGAGAGTTGTAGACAGCTTGCCATTTTAAAGGACCATTTAGGGTTGTCCTTATGAGAGTGTGAAGAGGGGTTGAAGTTGTGAAAGCCCCACTCCACGGTTAAATGTCCAGTATGAGATTTATATTTATTTCCACAGGATGAGCCAACACGTGTCAGGAACTTCAGAGGGTACCCTTCATCAGGGCTGCAAACATAAGTACATCAACACTTCTACTTAATAGAACTGTTTAATCGAAAACATTGTATCAGTAATCAACTTCATAAAAGCCGTCTATTAACTGAAATTTCTAAAGTACACAGTTTCATAAAGAGAGTGATCTGATATACTGTATGATGTAACTATCGGTAAATATTTGAGAACTGGGACAGGCGATATGTTAGCGATCTGTGTCCATATTTGTTTTATTCACTGAGGGGGGGGGATTTATCAAAACTGTAGCAGCTGTGCATGGCAACCAATCAGCTTCTCTCTTCAGTTCCTTAAGTTGAGATTTGAAAATAAGAGGCAAGCTGATTGGTATACACATCTATTCCAGTTTTTGTCTGCTCCAGTTTTTATAAATTCCCTTCTGAGTGTTTAGCCCAGTCAAGATTTTTCTGATCTGCCATCTCTGATGAAGGTGGACCACCGTAGCACCAAAAACACATTGGCTCATCCTGTCAAATATAAGTCTTTTTCTGGACACCTACCACTGAATGGCACTTTCATCAACCCTTCTTCACACTTCCTGCCAGCTTACCTGGAAGTATAAAACAATGCTATCTTCCTTCTGTAAACTACTAATGTTGGATTTGTGGTATTCTGCATTGCTGTATAATGCTGAGATTTGTAGTCCTTCTACAACCTGGCCTCAATGGTAAAACTACCAGGGTCGCAGTGTTTGCAGCTGGGACAGGGCCCTGGCACTCCACCAGTGCCTTTTTAAAATCATCATTAGTCTGTATTGTTTTAGAAAAACTGTTGCGACAAAAAAGTTATCGGTAATTGGTATCGGTGAGTACTTGAGGAAAAGTATCCGTATTCGTACTGTCTTCTAAAAAAAAAAGTGCATCCCTACTATTTTTAAAATGTAAATCTTGGTTACGTATAATTTTTTTGTCAGTGTGTATCAACTGCAGATTCTAAGCATCTGTATTTTGCCCTGAGCGGCGAGGGAGTCTGCAGCTATCCTTGTGATAAGAATCCTCAGCGAGTGGTGAGAGCTCTGCCAGCATTTCTTTGTGCTGTTCTCTACACCTTCCAATCAAAGTAATTAACAAACCGGGCTCAGCACATGTATGCCTCTGCCCTTTCCTCCCCTGGTTTTTCCTCATCTCTAGAGATATATATTTTTTTCCTTTTTTGCACCTCTCTTGCTTCCGTTGGTTTCACACCCTGGAGTAGAGCGCGAAACAGGGAACTGTGTGAAACTGAGCAGCAGGGCTCCTTATTCTTCTCAGTGGGCTTCATTCACCCTTTCTCAGCACTTTGTCAAGATCTCTGCAACATATAAACCATCTTCTTACAATGTATTGCTGTCCATATGCGTTACAGCAAAAGCCAAATCTGATAACTCATATGGATAGTGACAAATGTAGTTTGTGGGTGTTCAACACATGGCTGTTTTTAGACCGTGTTTGTTTCTTTTTATAAAGATAGAATCTCCTGTGGACACATTTCTTTGAAGTGGAATTCTAGGAAAACGGATAAATCCACATTTTAACCCCTTAATGACCAGTGACGTCCACAGTAAGTCACTGGCATCGGGCCCATTTAAACAGACCAGGACTATGTCGGCTTTACAGTAGAAGCGATTCTGGCTGCAAAGCTGCCGCCAGATCGCTTCTACGGGCTGGTAAACGGGTCGTGACCGTGACCGGCTTCTCTGGTGTCGGGGGGAAGCTTAGAAGGGGATCGGCGAACGTCTGTACACCGATCACCTTCCCGTACTATGGGACCGGGAGCAATGCAGATTACATCACTTCCGGTCCTATAGCTGTCAGTGCTGGGCTCCTGAAGCCCAGCAATAAGCTATTGAAGTGCGATTTTTAGTGCATGTATCATTAAGGTTTGGGGTTTGATAAGTTGCGCTAATATCATGCAATATAAAAATTGCCAACTGCCACCATCTTATTCTATAGGGTCTTGTTTTGTTTTTGTTTTTTTGTTTTTTTTTTGCATATATCTACTGCTAGCAAGCAAAAAGTAGATATATGCAAAACGTGTAAAAAAAAAAAAAGCTTTAAAAGCGGTTTAAACTTACCCCTGTCTTCGCCACTCTCCAATCCGAAAATGCTCGGGTGACCGCAAAGCATATTGGGGCGGGCGCATGCACAATTTGGATTTTCGTCCGAGAGACACAAGGCAAGTCTATGGACGCGTGAGCCCCCATGCAAACACCGTGGGAAGTGTACTTCTTGCTTGAGGGCAGATTCACACCATTTTCCAGACCAGATTTGGTGCGGAAAATGGTGTGAACCTGCCCGCAGTTCCAGTGCATTCCAGACCAGACAAAATGAGATGTGCAGTATTTTTCTGGTCTGGAATGGACTGCACTTGTGTGAACAGAGGCCAGAAATAGCATAGGGATACATTAGGATGCATTTTGGGTCCGGAAACAGTCTGGTCTGGAGATTATCTAGATGTGGTGTGAATGGTCCCTAAGTGTGCATTGTGGTAGTGGTGTCTAGTACATATTCCAACTGTATGTGTATTTAGCTGCTTGGTTGGAGTAAACTAAGAGAATTTATAAGTGTAGCATTGTGAGTTTGTAGGAGGAGCTCTATTGCAAGGTGAAAAAGCAAATTTGTCTTCATAAAGATTTGAAATTATGGAGATATCACCAGACATGTATGAACCATTCCAGAAGGTTCTTTTTGTGGCAACATAAAAAAAAGTAAAACCCAAGGATGGCTTTTTACTGATCAATCGTACTATTGCTGCATATTGTGATGTGTCAGGAATTTATTCATGCAGACTTGTACAGTCACTGAAAGGTCCACTAAGTTTAATTGGAACTATTTTTTTTCTGCACAATGCCGAATTCTTAGGAATTTTATGAATGTGGAGCTATAGTGGTATTTGAAAATGGAGGGAAGGAGAGAGGCATTGGTCATAGAAATATTTAGACTGAGAAAATGATGCTGCTTAATTTTAGTTAAAAAAACAAACACATGCTTTAGCTTTAACAATTCTGTTGACCTGGCACCTGTTTTCTATCTTTAGCCTGATGGCTGACTTTTAAATTATGCGACTCACACATTTTGGAAGAAGATAAGCCGTTGGACACATCAGTGAAGTAGTTTAGAGAATGAGTTGCCAACCAAATATATCACAACTGCATCACTAAGCAGACGAGGTGAAGCCGCCAATGGCATTGCTTAAATTTCTTTTGTGAAATGGATTAAGTCCGCATGATTTGGGCATGGTCCCAAAAAGTCTTTGTCAGCTTTTACAAGTTTGCCTTGATCAGAACAATCTCCTAGGTGTGTTGGGTAGAAGATGAACCAGGTATTGATTTAGATGAAGGGTTTTTAATTGTTTGTTGATTTTTATTCAGGGCTTTGTATATATTGAGATAGTCTATTAATTGTTACAGCTCTACATATGACTAAGTTGATTATAATCGATGATGGAAAACATTGTCAACATTTTCCATCATCAATTAGTTGAATTTCGATTAGTTGGACTGCTTGCCGCACGCTACTTCTCTGCCACACGGCACGACTCCACGCTGCTTCTCTTCCCCGCCATACGGACACGCGCTTTTCCTCCCCGCTTTACGGACTTGTCGCTGCCCGCCCATCCACAATCCATTAAGAAGGAAGAGCAGGCATGGGGGGAAGACAGCTGCCAGACAGGCCCACAATCTGCCCAGGTAAGCTGGCACCATTCCCCCCCCCCGCCCAGGCTATTGCTGTGCTGCAATTTGTTGTATTCCTCTACAGCTGCTGGCATTCTGCATTGCGCCGCGGTATTATATACTATATTGCACACCACTTTTTTTTTTTTGACTTCCAGCGCTCCAAGCTTGCTCCCATAATGGACTACAATCTCAGTACAAACTAGTAGTCCATCAGTGGAGCCATTTTTTTTTATCCTGGATAATTGAACTTAATAATCTGCTAACCGATTTTTGAAAATAATCGTTAGCTGCAGCCCTAGTCATCTCTTGGTGAGTCGCAACAAAAACACAATCCCCACACAATGTAATAGCCAACATGAGTTGATGTAGCTCATCCATGAATACAGTTTTTTTTTTTTATTGTGGATTTGGGAAGTAAGATCACAAAATCACACTTTTTGCTTCAAAATAAAAGTTATAGTTTTTATAGAAATAAGCAATGTTACAATAACTATAAGCCAAAAGGGCAAAATGTCCATGTAATGCCTCCCTTCCCCGACTACTCCCTGAATGAGAACCTTCACAGACTTTCCCGACTACGTTTTTCTGACTTCTCTAGTGCTTTATTGCATCAAAATACCTGGTGTTGGAACTCTGAGGCCCCGTTCACACCAAGGCGGCAGTGTTTGTACACGCAGGTTCAGCGTGCTTTTTTCACGTTTGGCACATTTTTGCGGAAGTGACAATGCATGCACATGAAGACGCATGTTTTGACTGGCAGCTCAAACATTGCATTCATCAGACTAACGTGCATACAAACGCGCAAAAATGTACGCGTAAACGTACTTTTTTTTTCTTTTGATATTTTGCTGCTCAGGTGTGATCAAGGGCCATTTAACAATCATGGGATTTCTTGTGTTGGGCGTTTTTAAAGTGCTTTTTTTAATGCTCAAATACGCCTAGGTTTGAACCAGGCCTTAGGGAGTAGTGATGTCACCGCCTTTTGTCATGTGACTGTGCTGTTAGGCCCGAGCACTGCATCGTAGTATGTAGTTGCATGCTCCTACACGCTGGCAGCATATAGGCGCTCACCTCTCGATTCTGTCACATCGGGTACAGCTGGCTCTGCCTCTAGATAGGCAGAGCCAGCTGTCACTCACGCAGCTGGGCGGATCTCTGCATAATTGTCGGGATCCGCTGCAGCGTCTCAGCTCGCGGTATACTGAGCTTAGGGTGACGGGAGGACGCTAGTTTGTGTCCTCCTGTTACCCTAAGTAGAACTGTGGGGAAAAGCCTTAACCCCATAGTTCTCCTTTTTAATATGATTTTGTCCCTTTGAGCTTTTTTTTCAGTTCACCAAGGGGCATGGAACTTTTTCTATGAGAAATGTAGGTCCTTAGATTTAAGTGAAAAGAAGAATCGCTGTTTAATTTGTTGAATAGCGGACATTTTTCTGGTCGTTGAGATGATTGCCAGGGAAAGTGAGAAAGTAGAGAATTAAAATAGTCCAGATCATGCATACGAGGCTGCTGTATGAACATTTAACCATGGAGAAATGTTAAAAGGAACTGGACCATTTATTTGAGTGGAGTTGGCATTTGCATAAAAAGTTTGTGTTGCTGGCTTAGAATCCTTTGCATTATTTATGGTTGTGGAAAGGGGTTTAGGCTAATCAGTGTATTTTGTCCTTGTGTAATAATATACTACGTACCTGGGTTACTCGGCAACTTTTTTTCTGTTTTTAAAAACAGATCTGGACTTATTTTTTACCGAAAAGGTGTCAAGTCCGTGGATAAGAAAACTGGAAAAGAAATCTTTTACAACTTGGAAGACAAAATTAACTTTTCAGTTTTCCCTTCAATCCAGGGAGGGCCACACAATCATGCGATTGCGGCTGTGGCTGTAGCGTTAAAACAGGTAAGGCAAAAGAATCTAAATGACTTGTAATCCTAAATTGTATGTAGTTTCTGTTCTGCTTGTCATTTTCAGAGCTGGTATTGAAAACAGTGTTGGGTTGTCTGGGGGCACAGCTTAAAGAGACCAAAATCCCAGTTCCATGTTGGGTACAATAATGTGTCATAGTCTTTATAAATATTTAGCAGTCTTAAACTGCACAGGAAATGTTGGTGCACAATTTTTTTGCAACAGTCTGCTTATTGCATCTAATGGCTGCAAAACCAATACACATGTGCTACTCTAGACCAGTGATTGACAATCAGGAGCTTATAAGTCACTTGTAGCTCTCATTGGCCTTTAATGACTAGCATTAGGTCTAGGGTTTCCCTGTCTTTTGATATTTGCACACAGCTGAAAATCGTATATACTGTTGGGAAACTCCACAGTCATCACATTTTTGTTGTGTTTTTATCACTGGTAGTATTTCACAGTTGTGACATAGATTTTGCCTAAGGTGTAGCATTATGTGTTTAAAGTGACACTAAACTCAGGAGTTAAAATCTTAAAAATGCATTCATGTACCGTAACAATTAACAAAAATATATCTTATTTGCGTATAACTCGGCTGTAGATCCTCAAACCATCTCTGAATAGGTGCTGACACTGTCCTTCCTTCTGGAGGATTGGTACTTTTGGTTCTTGTGTGTGTTGTAAAGTGGCCACTGCTCTAAGCTCGCTCCCATGATAGACTATGATCTCATACTAATTTGTATATAAACCCACCTACTTTCAAGTTATGGAAACCCTATGTCAAATCTGTCAGTTAACTATTAACACGAATGTATCTTTGTGTATCACGCGGCTGTAGATCCTCAAATCATTACAAAACACACAAAAATCCCCAGCTTCACCTGCCAGCTAGCCTGCAACCAAACAAATTCTCTGCAACTCAAATCATCTCTGAATTGGTGCCGACCCTGTCCTTCCTTCTGGAGGGTGACTACTTTTGGTCCCTGTGTGTGTGTTGTAAAGTTGCCACCACTCCAAGCTCTCTACCCTGATGGACTACAATCTCAATACAAATTTCTAAACTAAACATGAGATTGTAGTCCATCACAGGAGTGAGTTTGGAGCAGTGACTACTTTACAACACACACAGGGACTATGGGGACCAAAGTAGCCACCCTCCAGAATATTTAGAGATTATTTGAGGATCTACAGCTGAGTAATGCACAAATAAGCTACATTTCCATTCACAATTAAGGTACTTAAATGCATTTTTAAGATTTAACTTTATTCAGTGTAACTCTATGGTCCTTTTTAATAGTCCTTATTGCTGGTGTTGCTTGCTCTTGTGTATTTGTCATTCAGTGTCAACAGTTTTTCAGTGGAATATGTATGTAAATTTTCACCTTCTCCCCCTTTTTTGTTCGGATTGATTTTTGTCCATTTATCATTGCTGCCTTTGTGTGCTGTTTGGAAGCTTTAAATAAAAATATTCCAGTAAAAATGGATTTGGTTTAAAAAAAAAAAAAAAAAACAATATCATCAACACAAGCTCAAAGCCCGTCAACACAGGCATTTCAGAAATCCATGTATGGAGTGATGCTGACCCATGGTGTGCACATCGTTCAATTTGGTGAGATAGTTGCAGCATAAGACTTTAAAAAGTTGTCACCAGAAAATTGATATATTTTATTAATGCAGGGAGTAGGACCAGTAAATTGTCATGCGTGTGCTGTTAAACATTCTGTGCTCACTCCTCCTCAGCGGGCCCAGTAAGTGTTTAATTTTTTTAAACTCCTTTATGCTGTAATGTAGAGATATGAGAAGTAATCTCAAAAACTCTGGGTTCCCTTAAAGATCCCTGGCTACCTTGTATACTGTGATCAGTGATTTCTGAAATGACCTGCTGCTACCACACATGCTTTACATTGCAGACACACAGTAGTCTTTGCTGTAAGCCTTTTCCTTGTTAAATGGAATTACAGTTTTTCTCTGTGTGGAACACCTGCTGGCCGATAACCACAGAGCAGGTGATTCCAACAGGAAATGCAGTTATTAATCAAAATGTGACGGCGCTCTCGAATACTGCAAAACAAAATAACTGCGGCACCTTGTGAAACCACTAATTGCGGACTGTCTGTACAAATGGAGTTGAGATGCATAAATGAGGGGGAGGTTTTTCTGCAAGCCGGTTAATGGCTCCAAAACACAAAGATTAAATTGAAAAGCACCAGGGGCTCATAGCTTAAATTGTAAGTTCACCCTTGCAACTCAAAAATGAAAGACTTTGACCTGTCTTGTGTGCTGATATATTTCCTACAGAAATACACTTATTTTCAATGTAGCCTCCCCCTTTCTCGGTCAGTGATATTCCAGTGCAGAATAACACTATCGTTGGCTTCAAAAGGGTGATCCACAGTAAAACTAACGGGTCACCCTGTGTTTCCTCTGTAAGAAACCTCTATAATTGATCCACGGCACACCTTGAGTTGGTTTAACACGGTTTACTTCAAATGGTATAAGTGACCGTATACACATATAAATGCAGCAATGCACTTTATAATGTCAAGCACTTTAAACTATTTGGTAAATTAACTTAAAAGGGTGACTATAGATCAGCAATGGTGGTACTGACAACACAGGATATACATTAGAGTAAAGCCCTGTCTAAAGGTGCCCATACACTTTACAACCCTCGCAAGACTTTTGTCTTGCGAGGGTTCTAAAGTAATTTTAGAAAACGTACGATCTGCCCAGGGGCGGGCTTCCGATGACTGCAATGCTGAACGGGCGTGCACACACCGGCCCGTTCGGCAGTGATCTCTCATGTTATAAACCAGCCGAAAATCGTACGATTCTCAGTTGGTTCCAACATGCTCCATATACAAAAGTCGTGCGACCGTACATTAGAAACCGTCGCACGCCTTCCATACACTGCACAATTCTCGCACAATCGTGGGAATTGTGCTGTGTATGGGCACCTTTAGTCCCAATGTACCCGGGCACCTAACCAAAAGGCCAGAGGTTTAATCTTCGACTAGCCATTGGTGGGGCCCAATGTATGTGATAACGGACTCAATGTTTGGTGTTCTCAGTAAGCATAGGCCAGAGCTCTCTCACCCATCCTGGAGGGAGATGCTAATCACAGGAGTTTCGCACTGTCAGTAGATGTCTTCCAGAAGGGAGATAGTTCACTTGGATGAGACAGCAGGCCCTGCAATCAGAAGCTTATCTGCTGTGGCGACCACTCGTCACAGCAGAATCACCGTCCTCGATCACTGCACACAGATATGAGGTGCCAACAGATCACCTGGCAGGCTATCACGATCAATCAATCCCTCGTTCCAGCAGAAAAGTAGACAGCGACACAGCCGTGGCAGGAAGGCACAGTCCCGGCAATACACTATATCCAGCATCTCTGTCCAGCTGCCCTCCGTGCGGGGAATGAATCTAAGACGTTCCCCCTCCAGCCAGAGTACACGCCTCTCACATCGCTCTGGGACTTGTAGTCCATAACAGCCCATCCAGCAGGCATACTCCTGAGCAAAGAACTCATGCCCCATAAGTCTCTGTTAGCAGAAGCCCCGATCAGTTGCAACATTAGATCAGTCTTAAAGGAATGTGCTACACCAGTATATTGCCTGCTCCTTCACTTTTAAATGAGATATGCTTAGGCAGACCAGGACACAGCTCACCAGAATCTAGGAGCCAGCTTAAAAATGTTAGGAAGCAGCAACAATGAAAGCAATCCTTTTTTTTTTTTTTTTTTCTTTTTTTTTTTTTTAAATAGACTGTTGTGTGCAGTTTTGGGGTTTCAGACTGGAAGTCACCCTGTTGACCACTGATTAGCTGGGGAAGGATGTGCCGACAAACTATCTTCCTCCTGGGAAGAAAAGTAGCATTCACTGTGGGGGGGCGTGTTCTGTGTGATATCTTCATGCAGAGAACTTACAGGATCTCTAACATATGGAGCTGTTGTCTAATTCTGCTTCCCACTTCTTGACACTGCTGCGAGGAGGCAGAACCAGGGAATTGAGGAAGAGGAGGAAGAATCAAGTTGTTCAATACACCAACTCTGTGGCTGTAGTTAGTCATTTATCCCAGTACTCTTGATGTACCCCAAGGACCATTATAAGATAATACAAGCGGTAGTAAAGCTTCTCAATTGGCTGCCCTTTCAGTGGACATTGAGCTGGTTGGTTGGCTGAACTGTTGCGAGATTTACTACTCTGTAAGACTAGTCTCGGTTATGCATAAACAGCAGCAAGCAGGACAAAACTGTGACATGGAGGATATAAACCAGAAATGTAATTAGCAATGCAATTGTGAAGATAAAAAAAACACAATACTTTCAATCATATGTAGAAAGTTTTATAAAGGTAAATTAGCTCTTTTTGAAGTTAAGATATTTATGTTAGTAGAATGAGCATTTAAACGTGACTTGTACACTTATGCAGTATGTATTATTACAGAGTGGTGAATGTTTTATACTGATCTGTTCTCTTAACACACAGGCTAGTTCTCCAATGTTCCATGAATATGCGCAGCAGGTCTTGAAAAATGCCAAGTCAATGGCCGCCTCTTTGCTTAAGAAGGGCTACACCCTTGTTTCAGGTACTCTAGCTAATGAAGGCTGTATTTATTGATGATATGATTAAAGGGACACTATGCTGGTTTTGGGAAATTAAGATTTTTACACACACACTCACACACAGTGCAGCGTGTTTTGCAGCATTTTGACGTGTTCCGGACCATTTGTTTGCATGCATTTTGGTGCGTTCCAGAGCAGATAAATAGGGCATGCTGCAGTTTTTCCACATGCTCTGGAACTGAATGCTCTGGTGTGAACTAGAGCCCAAAATACCATTTGGATGCATTTTTGATGCGTTCTGTAACTGCTCTGCATCTGCTCCGGCACTTGGTGTGAACTAGCCTTAAAGGGTTAAAAAATGAGGCAATCGCAAGGGATATGCACGGATGGCAGATATATAGTAATATACCTACAGTGTCAGCCACAGTGTCGTTAATGACCACACACACACACACATATTTATACACAGTTTTTGTTTTGTTCGTTTACTATTTGTATTTCAATTGAAAATCCATGCGGCCAATATGAACAGACAGAAGCCAGAGATTAGGAACGTGGGTCATTCGATTAAATGATTCAAATGGATTCATTAAAACTGCCTATACACGGATCCAATTTCCAGCCCTGGGGTTGCCTTGCAGGCACCACTCTGTTCTGCAGAAGCTTGTGCTATGTGCACAACAACGCATGCAGGGCCTCTCCTTAGTTATGGTGCTTTTGTAAAAAAGCAGTGTTTATGCGGTAATATTGGGTTAAATATAGAGAAACGGTAATATTTATTACAGAAGAAAGCAAATCCCCAATGAGGCAGCTGATAATTTAATCTCACCATGGGGATTAAAAATTTCCTTCTCAATTCCATCAATAGTGATTAATCATAGCGCTGATGAATTTTGCTAATTATTGTTGGAGGTGCCATGTCTAAAAAAAAAAACCCAAAAAAACCGCATCAAATTCACGTTTAAAGTACAACCCCAATTCCAAAACAGTTGGGACGCTGTAAAATCTACATAAAAACAGAATGCAATGATTTGCAAATCTCGTAAACCCAAATTTTACTCACAATAGAAAACATATCCAATTTTTAATCTGAGAAAATGTACAATTTTTAAGAAACAATAAGGTAACTTTGAAATTGATGGCATCAACACGTCTCAAAAGTTGGGACAGGGCCACAAAAAGCTGGCAAAGTAAAGGTGCCCATACACCTTACGATTATCGTACGACAATCGTATGCGATCGACTTTTCGTATGACAATCGTAATGTGTGAATAGAGTGCCCGACCGATAGTACTGTACAATCGTACGACTTTTGACGGTCAAGCATGTTTGAAAACTTTGCTAGATCGTACGATGTTCGCATGGTTGGTGGCGTTTCCGTCTGTCAAAAGTCGTACGATTAACACTGCGCATGCGCAAACGAAAACAATTGCGGTCAATTACCGCAAGTCGTCCAGGTGTTTTTTTTAACTACCGCTAATTGGACCTTGCGATAATCGGGGCAAGATGGGGCCGTCGTACGAAAATCGTACGACGGTTCGATCATTGGACGAAAAGTTTCGTCCGATAATCGTAAGGTGTATGGGCACCTTAAGAGGTACTAAAGAATAAGAGCTGGAAGAAGATTTTGCAACTAATTAGGTTAATTGGCAACAGGTCAGTAACATGATTGGGTATAAAAGGAGTATCTTAAGCTGGCCATACACCTTACAACCATCTCACGACTTTCGTTGTGCTATGGTTGTAAGGTAATTAAAATTTTGTACGATCTGCCCATCTTGGACAGGCAGATTGTATTTGCGATCATCGCAAGCCCGCCCCGCTGAGGGGGAGGGCTTCCGATGATTGCAGTGCTGAGCGGGCAGTGTGCGCTTGCTCACACCGGCCCGCGCGGCATTAATCTCCCGAGCACGCCACTAACCCGGCAAAAATCGTAACATTTTCGGCAGGTTTTCAAGCGTGCTCGGAAGACTAATATCGTGCTACCTTACAGTAGAAGAGGTCGCACGCTGCCCATACACCTGCTGATTATCACCCGTGATTATCGTACGATAATCGAGAGGTGTATGGGCACCTTTTTATAGAGTCAGTGTCTCAGAAGTAAAGATGGACAGAGGTTCACCAATCTGCAATTTTACTTTGAGGAATATTATTCTGAAATTGTTCAACAATTTTAGGGTGCAGCTTTTCACAAAGACTTTAAAAATATAATCATCTACAGTACATAATATCAAAAGATTCCTAGATTCTGGAAAAATCTCTATGTGCAAGGAACAAGGTTGAACCACAATCTTATTCCCGTGATCTTTGGGCCCTCAGGTGGCACTGCATGGGATCAGGAATACTTCCAAAAATCACTGAACACAGTTCGCTGTGTCATCCAAAAATGCCAGGTAAAGCTCTATCATTCAAAGAAGCCATATCTGAACATGATCCAGAATCACCACCATCTTCTCTGGGACAAAGCTCATTTTAAAATGGTCTGTCGTAAAGTGGAAAACTGCTCTGTGGTCAGGCGAATCAAAATATGATATTCTTTTTGGCAACTGTGAGCACCATGTCCCTAGGACTAAAGGAGAGGGGCCTGCCAGCTTATCAGTGCTCAGTTCAAAAGCCTGCATCTCTGATGGTATGCGAGTGCATTAGTGTGTATGGAATGGGCAGCTTGCACATCGGGAAAGACACCTTCAATGCTGAAAGCCATACAAAGGTTTTAGAGCAGCACATGCTCCCATCCCGACAATGTCTTTTTAAGGGAAGGCCTTTTATATTTCAGCAGGACAATGCTAAACCGCGGTAAACATGTCCCTGTCCCAGCAGATGTGTTGCTGCCATCAATTTCAAAATGACCTTATTTTCTTCAAATGCTACATTTTCCTAGTTTAAACATTTGAGATGTGTTCTATTGTGAATAAAATATGGGTTTATGAGATTTGCAGATAATTTCATAATTTTTTGTAGATTTTACACAGCGTCCAAACTTGATTGGGGTTGTACAACCCCAGGCATGCGCTCAGTTAAAATGTATGTTTGCTGTTTTTACATGCCAAAGGATTTGTAATTCTGTTCCACTTATCTTGTGATTTTTACATAATACCAACCCTGCGCAGTCAGGCAGATACTGTGATACAGATCTTAGTTTGGCCTTACTGCTTCTTGGACTTACCGCCCTGCTAGTTGGACAGAGGTGATGATATGGATTGTCCCATGTATAAGCTGGAAGTGTAGCCTCAACTTCTAAACTAAGAAATGTGTGTAGCCTGGCTGGTCATTTTGAGGGAATAAGGCTTGACGTCAGGTAATTCAACTTTAAAACAAAGAAAATGTGAAAGACCCAAGCCTTGCCTGCGTGTACCCATAGTGACAAAAAACAATGAAAATAATTATAATGGCATGATAGTTTTGTCTTTTTAACCCTTTGTTGGGCATGCTGTACTTTTTTTGTCATGGCTTTCATAACTTCACTTTTCAGGTGGAACGGATAACCACCTTGTGCTAGTGGACCTGAGGCCCAAAGGTATGGATGGAGCACGAGCTGAGAGGGTGCTGGAGCTTGTATCTATAACGGCCAATAAGAACACATGCCCTGGAGATAAGAGTGCTCTCACTCCCGGAGGCCTGCGACTAGGTAAGTCTCCTTATTGGGTGGACAGTGTTGCCCATTTCTAGAGGAAGTAAGTGTTTGCATGGCTCATGTTCCAATTTCTCTTTTTTTTTTTTTTTTTTTCCTTTTTTGAAGGCATTTTTGTGTCACTTTCAGGGCTCAGTCACACAAAGCGTTGGGCTGTGCTAACCACTTTTTTCAGCGCAGCCCCAATGCATAGATAAGGCAATTTGCCTTGTTCGAAATGGGCACAGTTCACGTCACCTTGTTGCAGTGATGTGCTCTGGGGAAAAATTACAGCATGCATTTTACTTTTTTTTTACTTCCTTTCTTTTTTAAGCCTAACGTTGTACAATGTGGTACAACCTATCAATGGAACTTGATGAAATGTCACTTGTGACGTTTTAATAAAGTGCCAACACTGTGCCGATCACCACACTAGCAGCTTGCTGTTGTGAATGGGTCCTTAGTATCCTTCCTCAGAGGGGACCACCTGAAGCTTTGATCTCAATAGTAACAAAAGACACATTGGGAAAAAGATTTATATGTGCATGGTGGATCATCTTCTAAATTGCAGAACTGATCAGAGCACAGTAAATTGGATTAAAATGAGACAATATGCTTCCTATAAAGGCAAATGTATCTCAAAACTTGTTGCTATGCCTAAATTTTTTTTTATCTCTGTAATGCTGTTGAGAGATTCTCATCAGAATTCCAAATTCTGACCATCTGTTGCAGCCATTAGAAAGACAGAAAAGGGTGCTTCCCTAAAGGTTTTCTTTTTGTTGTATAATAAATAATTGAGAACGGAGTGGACATCTTGGCTTTGTCAGAAGGGACCAGAGCCCGAAGCTATTGTGTCAAAGTTAGGAGAAATAGAGTGCAAAGTTATTGATCAAAAGTTTTTGTTTTTTTTCACAGTAGTTTTTTTAAAAAAACAGCCATTGTGGACTGGCGGAAAGGTCACGGCAAAAAAAATTTTTGGGAATCGGAATTTTTATAATTTTTGAAGACGGCAGAAGGTTTGCTACAGTCACCAGCTCAGTAGCCTGCTTCACCAGGCTGCCAAACTGGAGACTGTAGATCTAGAGCTGCCCTAAAGAACTACCAGAGCAGATTGGAATTCTCACTTACATCAAGGTCCAGCACCTACCATTTTCTCATTGATAAACTACTGCATGAAAATCTTAACTTTTTTTTTTTTTCTCTAAGAAGTATTCCAACTCAAAGGTTTCTGCTCATGTAATGCCTATATTTGTTCAGGCCAAATAAGATATATGGTATTAGAATATATACAAGAAGGGCTATGTTTTAGTATGGGCTGAGGACATATTTCCGTTGTTTTATCCTTGTTTGCCTGTTGTCAGCAGATAGCAACAGACTGCTACATAGGGCATGGGCACTAAGTAGCTGAAATAAAACTAAAGAGAAAGATTTGTGATAGGAGTAATATATGAAGGGGGTTAATGACCGAATGGAATATTTTGATTTGTGTGCATTTCTAGAATGTTTTTTAAGCTGGATAGCTCAGAAAGTGGTTTCCAAAACGACATCACTTCATTCTTCTACGTATTAAAGGAGAACTATGAGGTGAGTGCTCTTCACTCACCACATAGTTATAGCCCACCTGTGACCATGAGACTCACAGGTCGGCTCAGCAGATTGGGAAGTGAGCAAACACATACCGGCGTTCGCTCACTTTTCGATCCCATCACAGCTCTCTGCCGTGACAGGGGAGTGGCTGGATTCCCCCCTACCCAATCCTCCAGCGCTGACTGGCGGAACGGATGGGGGAGGGGGCGGGTACAGCTGGCTCTGCCTCTAGATAGGCAGAGCCAGCTGTCACTCATGCAGCTGGGCGGATCCAGACATAATTGTCGGGATCCGCTGCAGCGTCTCAGTATACTGTGAGCTGTGGCTCGCGGTATACTGAGCTTAGGGTGACGGGAGGATGCTAGTTTGTCTCCTCCCGTTACCCTAAGGAGAACTATGGGGAAAAGCCCTAACCCCATAGTTCTCCTTTTTAAAGAGCATCTCTAGTTTACAAGTAAAACTATCAGTGAACAGATATTGCCATCCAGGAAACAATACAAATGTGTTCCAAGGTGAATAAGTCCAATGTAGCCATATTTATCAGGCTTGATGTAGGACATGCATGAGAATATACAGCCTTTTGTAACATTCAGTGCTTTCCTGTCTCTTTCACAATCCATTGTGCCTGGAACATGGTGCTCGCTGGTGTTTGTTACAAGCTCAGATTAAGTGCCAATTACCACACAAGAACACTGGTAGTTGAATGGAGTTAGCTAGCAGAACAGATTTCCTAAAATGTGAAGACACCAAAATTAAAATTAGACACTCAGCAGATAGGCAGTGTCCCTTTAGTCAGTTTAAATTTTTTTTACTTGTCACAATTCAGACACTGTTTAGAAGTGTGTATACAGGGCTAGGAATCTATCATTTTAAAATGCAGGTTGACCTTGAAAATGAAATGCCAGGTCAGGTCAGTGGAAGAAATGATCTATCATGAAGCGTGTAGATGCAGAAAACATCCACCTGGGTCTTGTTCAATCAATAGACAATGAAAGAAAAGTCCTGCAGCAAAGCTATGTAATGTGCCAGAGCCCAGGAAGAATGAGGATAGCTGGCAGAAGGCAAATTTCATGTGTCTCTCTGGATGACTAGACTCGAGAGAGAGAGAGTCTATCAATTTATATAAAGGGCAAAAATTAAAAAAGCTCTTGCTAACTCAGAACCCTAACCCCACAGTTGACCTCCAGAGGAAGGTAAAGCCCCTTTAAAAGCATGTTCCATCTGGGGGGGAAAAAAAATTCTTACAGATCCCTAAAGCCAATAATCTATTCCCTAGATTAATCATAAACTGTAATTTCCTATAAATGTTAATAATTTTGTGCATTTAAAGGCACATCACCCGGGCTTGAAAATTAATTTGTCCTCCCGTCTGTGACGAGAGGACACTAGATGAGTGGCTAACAACGGCCGGCTGGGAGCTTCTTGGGTGGTTTACATTCAAGCGATCGGGCGCCCTTTCGCTTGTATTAGCTGCGGTGTTACACCCCCGCCGCTGCTGTCACTGCCGTTGCCGGTCCTGAGATCCACTGGACTGACACGGCTGCTCTTTCACAGGAGATCAAAGGGAGATCGGTACATGATTTCTTCTCCGGTCCCCAAATACAGGTGCAAGTGATTCTTAGCCCCCTGTGTGATGGCAATAAAGTGAAGTGTAAAAAATTAAAGAAGCATAAAAAAACACATTTTTTTTTTAAGTCCCTCGCCCCCCACATACACATGCAAACATGCGTCAGGTGCTCCTACGTGTGAAAACAACAAGTGGGAGCAATACTCTTAGGGCAATTAATCACTGATCACACTAAACTGATGAGCTGTAAAAGCGTTTAAAGCGTCGCCTAGGGCCGATTTTTGGTGTGGTCGTTTTTTGCGATTTTGCGGGCGCACACAATTTTAAGGCTATTTACCAAAAATATGGGCAAGAATAAATGTTTAACATAATGTATAACATTTTTATTTTAATTTTTTTGCAATTTCTGGTACTTTTTTTCATTTGTATAGTAAAAAATATAAACCCCAGTGGTGATTGTATACCACCAAAAAAAATTAACATAAATTGCAAGGCTATAGTCCGGTCATGCTGACTGGTGAAATGTTTGACTGTGAGACACCCTAACATTTTTCAAGCCCTGCACATCACCTTTTTTGAAGGAATCCACTGGTATGAATTGCAGCTACTAATGCAAATATATTTTCTTTACGGAAAAATACAGCTAAAACAGTTAACCCCTTTGTGACGGGAGACATACACTGTACGTCCCGTCACAAAGTGCCTTTTATGACTGGCCACGTACACTGTACGTGACAAGTTATTTAAGGCTCTGTAATGCCGGTAACCGCTGAATCACACCGCAAAACTGTAAAAAGTGTCAGTCATTTATGAACAGAAACTGAAAACTAGCTCAGTCATGAAGGGGTTAAAGTACAGACTAACTTTTTTTTATACTAATAGCCAGCAACTACTCCAACTCTAGTGTCAATAGCCACGTCTATAATCTAGTTTTCTACCACACCTGCCTTATCCAGCGATACATGCTCTCCAAAAAGCAGTTTTCAGTGGGGCAGCCCAGCCCATGAGCTAGTCTGCAGACAAGGACTTACCATAGAAAAGAATAGCAATCCTTGGCATCACTTCAGTGCGTGTGCCATGTGGCCTATTCATTTCTATAGATAGTGCAAGACCATTGACTAGTGTACACTATGGGCTTCCCCACTTAGTTAGCATTTCTAGAGTAAATCTGAATGGGGCAGATTGATGAGGGCTTCTTTTTGTATAAAATACACACGCACACACATCAGCCATATGAACACCTGTCTACTATTGAGTAGGTCCCTCTTTGGCTGCCAAAACAGCCTTAACTTGTCGAGGCATGGACTCCACTAGACCCTTGAGGGTATGCTGTGGTCTCTGGTACCAAGCCATCAGTAACGGTTCCTTTTTAAGTCCTGTAAGAGTTGGGCTTTCCATGGATTAGTCTTGTTTTCCAGCAGATCCCACACATGCTTGATTGGATTGAGATCTGGAGAATTTTTAAGTCAACAACTCCAACTCGTTGTGTTCCTCAAACCATTCTTGAACAATTTTTGTAGTGTGACAGGGCACATTATCCTGCTGAAAGAGGCCACTGCCATCAGGGCATATAATTTCCATTAAGGGATGTACTTGGTTAGCAACAATCTTTAGGTAGGTGGTATGTGTCAAAGTAACATCTGCATGAAGGGCAGGAACCAAGGCTTCTCAGCAAAACATTGCCCAACGCATCACACTGCTTCTGTCGGCTTGTCTTCCACTCATGCCTTCTATTGCTCTGTGCTTTAGTTCTAATGCTCACGTGCCCATTGTAGGCACTTTTGGCAGTGAACAAGGGTCAGCATGGGCACCCTGACAGGTCTGCAGCTACGCAGCCCCATTTAAAATAAACTGCTTTGCAGCCTGTGTTCAGGCTTTTTCAGCATTTTGAGCTATGGTAGCTCTTCTATTGGATCAGACTACACAGGCCAGCCTTCGCTCCCCACATGCATCAATGAGCCTTGACCGCCCATGAACCTGTCGCCACTTCACTGGTTTTCCTTCCTTGGACCACTTTTGGTAGGTCCTGACCATTGCATATTGGGATCATCCTACAAGAGCTGCAGTTTTGGAATTGTTCTGATCCAATTGTCTAGCCATCATAGTCACAGCCTTGTCAGAGTTGCTTAAATCCTTACGCTTGCCCATATATTCTTTTTTTTCTGCTTCCAACACAACTTCAGGGTCAAATTGTTTGTTTGCTGCCTATTCACTTCACCTCTTGCTGGTCATAATGTTAGTGTGTGTGTGTGTCTAAACATTGCAAACAGTTTACAGAATATTGAGAGCTCAATTACACATTCTCATTGCTTTGTTTTCTTAAAAGGTGCCCCTGCACTTACATCTCGCAACTTTAGCGAGGCCGACTTCGAGAAGGTGGTTGACTTTATTGATGAAGGCATTCAGATTGGGCTTGATGTGAAGAGCAAAACATGTGAGTAGCAGTGCGGTAAACAGCGAGCTTCTGATTATCATTTTACTAATTTTATATATTGGCAGCAAAAACACCTACTGTAAAATATACAGTGGTACTTCGGTTCACGTACTTAATTCGTTCTACGATTCTGGTCACGAACAGAATCAAACGAATCAGACTCCGATCTCGACTAGAGGAAGCCACGACCACGTGTCGGAGCAGGGAAGATGGCCGCAGTTGTGTTCATCACCGGATGCGGAGTTCGCGAACGGAAGCAAAATTTTGCCGGACTTCCTGTTTGCAAACTGAATTGTTCGCAAACGGAAGCATTTGTAAACCGAGGTACCACTGTACTCTGTTGATACCCAAATTGGGATGCAGACATATTTGTAATGGGTCACTACTTGACTGTGTAGCCTAGTTTGCCCAAATGCATAATCAGTGGTGACCACCATCCGGATGTATTGGGAATAGGGAGCTACAATTTATTTGTTTTTTTATATCTGCCTGGGGTTTTTTAATTTTTTTTCTGTTAGTGAGCATTTACAACACTCAATCTATTTTAGGTTTTGAATTATTAGTTTTATAAATTGTTAGCTTTTCAAATTTTTTCATTACAAATGAGGAAACATTCAGAACTATTAAGTGACGCTAAACTCAGGAGTTAAATCTTAAAAATGCATTCAAGTGCCTTTAACTATTAACAAAAATGTACGGTATCTTATTTGTGAATCACTCGGCTGTAAAATCATCTCTAAATTAGTGCTTACACTGTCCTTCCTTCTGGAGGGTGGCTACTTTTGTTCCCCATGGTCCTTGTGTGTGTGTTGTGAAGTAGCCACCGCTCCAAGCTCACTCCTGTGATGGACGACAATCTCGTATCCATTTGTATTGAGATTGTAGTCTATCACAGGAGCAAATGCATTCAAGATTTAACTCCTGAGTTTGGTGTCACTTTAAATGGAAACAAGTGTTTGCTTTTTTTTTTTATTTATATGGGCATTGCCATATGGGTTTCATTACATTTTAGTTAGAATACTGGGTCTCAAGAAGAAAAGAAATGCTATCAGTTTTCTTATTTGTGTCTTCAGATTAAAAATGTTAAGAACCCTTGTACTAGGGAATACTGTCGGCATAGATCTAATAGCATGCTGACTTATTATCAACACTGGCACTTTGCTGTTTCTATAGATTTTATTTATGCATCTTGGTCATTTGTTTTTTTCTAATAGTATACTTTTCGCTGTAGAAAAATATGTTTTAACACACACACTGTGTGGGTCATAGCTTTATATATATATATATATATATA